TGATAACCAGGACAGATCAGAATTTTAGTAATGTTATACAATTTCAAAACACCTATATCAACAATATTCACCAACATAATATCATAGGTCCCCATGAAACAATGCTTAGCTATCCATTTAACCAAAGTAAGACTCACTCAAAGGTAGAGAAAACCTTTTTTAATTTCTCTACCAACAGCAGACTGAAGTTCAAGAAAATTATCCTTTAAGAGAGAGAGAACTAAATTCTAATTTTGTACCAGTTTAGTTTTTGACATTAAAAGTCATTTACTTAATTGGATTTACTTTAATCCCAGCCAACTTGACCAGGCGTAAAACTTCTCAGGGTTTTACTTTTACAAACTTTATGTCACTTACTTTTTTTTTTTTTTAAAGATTTTATTTATTTATTTTTCCCCCCAAAGCCCCAGTAGATAGTTGTATATTATAGCTGCACATCCTTTAGTTGCTGTATGTGGGACTCAGCCTCAGCATGGCCGGAGAAGCGGTGCCTTGGTGCACACGCAGGATCCAAACCCGAGCCACCAGCAGCGGAGCGCGAGCACTCAACCGCCAAGCCACGGGGCCGGCCCTGTCACTTACTTTTTACATTCAGAATTTGTCCCAAGTTTTTTCCTTTCCTAATACTTTAGGACAAATTTGTCTTCTTTTTTTTAACAAAACAAAAATATTTCCATTTTTCATACCTTCTTTACTAAAAACATATATCTTACTTTCCTTGAATACAAACATATTTTCCTTATTAATTTCTAGTTGCCTTAATCACATATTAGAATTTTAACCCTTAGAAACCCTAATTTTTAAGTAAAAACTAAGAAGTAAGCAATTATAAACTTTCTTTTACATTAGTATCCCATGGCCTGACAAACCTACAAACACTTTTCACAATTTCGGGAATCATGTTACTTTATAGTACAATCTTTTTTTTTTTTTTAATTGATGTTTTAATAGTTTATAACATTGTGAAATTTTTGGTTGTACATTTTTGTTTGTCCATCACCATATACGTCTCCCTTCACCCCTTGTGCCCACCCCCTACCCCCATTGCCCCTGGTAACCACAATCAGTTTTCTCTGTCCATGTGTTGGTTTATATTGCACATATGAGTGAGATCATATGGTGTTGGTATTTCTCTTTCTGGCTTATTTCACATAACATAATACCCTCCAGGTCCATCCATGTTGTTGCAAATGGGACGATTTTGTCTTTTTTTATGGCTGGGTAGCATTCCATTGTATATATATACCACATCGTCTTGATCCAATCATCAGTAGAGGGACACTTGGGTTGCTTCCACTTCTTGGCTATGGTGAATAATGCTGCAATGAACATAGGGGTGCACAAGCCTCTTTGGATTGTTGATTTCAGGTTCGTTGGATAGATTCCCAGTA